TATATATACTTAATATTTTGCACTACAAAAATGCTTAATTAAGCATTAATTAATCATTGTAATTTATTCTTTAATATCTGTTTTACATATACCAATTTTGACTTCTAGATGTTTCTTTTCCAATTGATGTTTCATTACAACAGTAAATGTTTTTCCACCATCCTTTTAACATAATTTCTAAATTTAATTCTTCTATGATCTGAACTTAAAGTAATTACTCAGAAACTGAAAAGACCATTATTCAAAGACAGAACAGCTAATAATGTTCATTTTCTGATGGATACATTCCCTGACTAAAAATTAGGCCTAGAAATCTGCCAATACAGCAAATGTATTACACAGTTGTTATGATTCTGCAGGGAAGAGAGCGCATGTCACACAGCAGAACGTGCATTTTTTTAGCTGCCATACTAAAACCAAAAGTGGGATAATATTTACATTATTGAGCTGTTTTTTATGAAACATAAATGAGATAGAGGAAATTCTGAGTGGCAGAAAGAATAGAGAAACCTGTTTTAAGAAATTCTAAAAAATAATGGCCCCATCTGCAGAAATTTTTTTAGAGTTTAACACAGTAATCTACTGATAAAGCAAATTCTCATTCTTGCACGAACAAGTGTTAATTTCCAACCGCCCATGGATTTTTGCCCACAACAGCCTTATAAAACAACACTGCAATTTGTTTTAATTGTTTCAAATGGTTCAGCACTCAAAGCCGTACTCGCGCAAATAAGCGCCCCGTTTGAATAAGCGCCCCTATCGAATAAGTGCCGTGAAAATTTCTTTAAGCGCCCCGTTTGAATAAGTGCCCCCTTCTGTGGATGTTGGCATGATTTGAGGTGTGGAGTGGAATCACATTCTCCTTTAGTTAATATCAAAATGAGGATATTTATCTTAGACAGATGAGAGCTCCCTGGACAGACAGTATATTTCCAACTTTCATTTTCTTACATTTTTCTATAGCCTAGTCTTACTGCTTTTCCGACAATTTGCACCTAACACATTCTCAAAAAAACCTGCAATGATCATGCCATCCTGCTAATCTCAATCGGCCGATGACCAACAAGCTAACCACCACCACTAATTTCATCTGCTATTCTACTGTTATGTAATACTGTACTCACAACATTCTTGTCATGACAAGCCATGCTCTCTGGATGATTATCTTTTTCGCCGCACCACCATTCGTAATTTACGGTTTCCTGATGTCCTTATATGATCGTTTTTCATTCAAAATGTGCCTCTTGAATCTAATAAGTTCTCATAAGAACCCCTCGATTTTCATCTATTTCCATAAGCGCCCCCTCAATTTCCACTCTGTTTTGATAAGCGCCCCTTAAAAGGTGCAAAAAATATTTTAAGCGCACGGGCGCTTATTCGCGTGAGTACGGTAAGGTTTAACATTTTGGCTGACACTGGATTTTTGAAGTTTATTTCAAAGCAGAAATTAAGAAAAACTTTGGTAAAAATAAATGACATGGATTATAGCTAGGCCGGTCCATCCCTCTAGCCTCCCCATTACAGGCGATGTATTGTATATTCATTCGCATAACAGTGTGTACAGTGTTTTCGTTTTCAACCATAATTGCTTATAAAAAGTTTATCCATTTTAATCACCCAAAATGTTCCTTTCCAGACTTGTAAATTTGCAAGGCCTGTTTAAGTAAGTCCATGTTGGCTTGTTTTGGCACTGTCAATTGGAAAGATGAGGAGATGCAGTTGACTAGCACAACAATCTACTGTACTGTAGTTTCTGCGTAAAGTTTGGGGCACGAGGCCTGCATACAGGGCCAACTTGACAAGGCTTGTTGAAACAATGTCCATAAAGAAATTGCAGACCAGTTCAGAAATGTTTTTTAGAAGCCGAGTTGTGCACGAATGGGCAGACCACCAATGGATGTAAAACTTACCCTGTTTATTTTTCCGGTTCTGGCGCGAACAGGGCCCATCAAAGGGAAAAAAGGACAATGACATTCCTGCAGCTGCAGACGATACACCGGGTGGGAATAGTGGACAAGACAATGTAGTCAGGGATAAGACTACAATGGCTATACATAAGAAGCTGGACACAATTATTAATATGCTAGCAGACGTGCTGAACTGCCTGGTAAATGTGTAAAGGGGACTAAAAACAACAAATGTGAAAGTAGAAGATAGTTTATTATTATTTTAGGATAGTTTTTTTCAGAAACGAAGGTAAATAGAAGGTAAATAAGCATGACGGATGCCAGTCAATTCAGGCAGATGTCAGTTCGAGCGGATGCCAGTTCGAGCGGATGCATTTAGTGCGAACTATAACAAGGGCGAAATTTATCGTCCCCGTATTCTTGTACAGTATGTTTGTTTAAATGAAAAAAAATGCTCTGGTTACTAAGGTTCTGAAAGGTTTTTAGTACTTTTTGATAATTACTCCATGTTTGAATTATAGTCTTGGCAACTTCGACTACCAAGATGGCCGCTAACAAGTTAAAACTATAATAGATTTGCGCACTTTTCAGCTTAAAAAAGAAGAAAGTGTATGTTTCACTAGAGTGCACGAGAAGCACACACCCAAGACGAGTGACCATTATTTTTTACAAAATTATATTTGTAACTGAGTTATGCTACTCACTTATCTATTCTGGAACTGTTGTGTGCCCCTTTCCCCTTTGAAAATGTCAAATTTTTAGCTCAAAAATAGGAAATTTTGAAGTAATTCGTATATAACTCGCACAGGTTGTTGTTCGCACAAGTGGAACTTCTTCCGCTCAAACTAGCATCCGCTCGAAAAAAATTACGCTCGAATTCACTCGAATTGGCCTTCGCTCGAAGTAGCATCCGCTCGAATTGACTGGTTCCCAGCATGACAGTGTCAAGAAACCAAGAATGGTCGAACTTGAAAAGAAAGTGGATGAGTTAAGGAATAGGTCTCGGCGAAATAACATTGTGCCCAAGATTTAAAAAAAAATGTATTCAAACATTAAATAGGAATGGTACACAAAAATCCATAACACTTAACAGCTATTTTCAGCTGAGTATTTACTTTTGCAATAATAACCAATGAATAAGAGGGCTGAACCTAAAAACTTCAACCAATAAATATAAAATAAATTTAAAAAGTACTACAATCACATAGTACCTACACAGGTTTAGGCCTAAAAGGCTAGTTGGGCCCTAGACCTAGTATGTTCAAACTCTATGCCTCCATTTACTGACCGTGAGGTCTGACTGGCTGAGCCCCAGGAGGTACTGTAACTTGTAAGCTAGCTGAGCCTGAGTTAAGCTGAGTGTGAGGTGGAAAATCCCAAGGCATCCCAGGTACAAAACGAAGCTTAAATCAACATTTACACAACGTATTGAAACTGAACTGTTAATAATTATTAATAAAAGTACTTATGTATCCATTTTAATGAGTTTTACGTACGTTTTTCTTGTAATTCAGATGATATTCACAAAAACAGCAAAAAAATCGTAGCTCGTTTTGTTTTGTTTTGTTATTCCGAAATCTGACTCCGAGATGACCTTGTGACCTAGGCCTAAGCTTAAATACTTAAAACAGTACATAAAAAATATAAATAACAAGTTTACTATATAGGTAATTAGTAAATTTCTATATTATTAAAAATAAATTTATTGCAGGGCTTAAATATTATATTTTAAGAATTATAACCACGTTTGTTCGATAACAGAGTGTTTTCTGATACATAATTATTTGTTTAAGGACGCCACCAATTGGTCAACTATTTAAAAACTTTTAAGCTGGGGCCTGTTACTCTGTACGGCCTGCGGCCTCTGTATTTTGTTTAATTGTGATCATTCGTAATTAATCAATGTAGCCAACAAAGTTGAATATAAGAAATAATGAGTGAAAAAATGATAACGTGGAATTAGTATATAGAATTGTATGCATACGATCTCAGTAATTTTGACAAAGCTAGGCTTAGTGCAAGAACACAGATATTTACATTTAAATACATTTTGTATACATTATTAATTATTACTGTTATTTGATTTAACCATTCCTTGAGTTGAATGAATTGGTAATCAGTGACTGATATTTGTACTTAAATCAAATGAAGATGGCCTATTATATTAATAATTGTGATAAGTGAAGTTTTATCTTGTTTTGATATAGGACTATATATAATGTATATTATACATAAATATATATATATACATATGTATAATGTATATATAGGCCTATTATATATAAATATAATGTTATAATATAATCATAATCATACACAATATTCTAGAAAGAAGCACACCTTATCAGTGTTTTTATGCTTTTGCTTCTCGGCTTAATATCTATGTGTCTATGTATGCTTCTCGGCTTACTATTACTATATATTGAATCTCCATCCATTCCTTGCGTCACTTAATCTCATCTTGATGGGTCTATCTCGTACACTGAGTTATGTGACACAATTTGTTTTCAAATTTTAGAAAAGGTCGCAATCGCAGAGGAGGTGGTGTTTTCATCGTTGGTTGCCAAAATTTCAATGCTTATCATGCAGATCAATATAATGTACCTGGTCTTGAAATTATATGGGTGTCACTCCATAATCATTCTGGGAAGGTCTTAATCGGTTACATCTATCGTCCACAAAATGCACCAGTTACATTTTTTACAAGCTCGAGGCAAGTATGGATAAGGTCTTTCCTGATAGCCATCTCTACCATCATGCTATTATGTTGACAGGAGATCTCAATATGGACCTGATGAGTAATGCACCTGATGTTTTGTTGCCGAAAACGCTGTCTATCAAAAAGTCTAGGTATTCTAAATATTGATCAGTTAGTAAGGTTTGTTACTCGCAGAAAGAATAAATACTCTAGCGACGGTACTTTGGTTGACTTTGGTGCAATGCTATAACTTCTACCTCATCCTGGAATCGGTGATAGTCATCACGACGCAATTAAAGTTACACCTAATCTAACTGAAATAAATAATAATCTTCCTCCTAGTTATTTTATGGACCATTTAAAAATTGATGTCTCAAGTGAAATAGCAATACTTTTCACAATTGATTGGACTGATGACGTGAACTTCACATGGTATGGGAATGTTTTAAAAATAAGGTCCTCAAGGCAGTTTTTGATATAGTACCTCAACGTAAAGCTACGGTTAGGGCTAAATACCACCCATGGGTAACACCTGAAATAATTAGGTTATCTAAGAAGATAATATTTAATAAAGCAGCTAAGAAATTCAATAGCTCTGATAAGTGGGTCAAATATAATTATTATCGCAACAAAATTAAGTATTCCACAAAAATGGCATATTTCAACTTTATTTCTGAATTGGCTTCAAAGTCTAATGGCAGTGGGAAATCTTTTTGGACCTTTGTTAGGAAATCTAAATCCAAACCTGTGGCTCTTTCTTTTAAAATCAATCAATGTGTAATAGGTGACCCACTTATTATAGTTAATGCTTTTAACCATCCTTTAAATCATTTTTTTTCAGATGAAACTAACGTGCCAATATGATGTCCCAAGTATGTGAAGCGTATGTCAAGAGCCTGTTTTTCTGTAAATGTTAATGTTCCGTTTGGAGTTAGGTCTGGCAGTCAGGCAGTTATTTGAATCTGTTCAACCATGAAGCCTCCGTGGTCTAATGGTTATGAAGCTCGTCTGGACAGCGAGAGGTCGCAGGTTCGAATTCTGTTGGAGGATTTTATTACACAATGTATTTATATAAATATAACATTCGTTTAGAGCTATGCTACAAGATGTACTATCACATCCTTTATTTAAACACTGTATTTACCTTTCGTTGATGAAATGCTAATTTTAAAATCATATTTAGACAAAGTAAACATTACAGAAAACAAAGTAATTTATTCCAAACAATTCACTTTATTTACAAATTTTACAAAGAAATAACATGATAATGACACAAAACTAAACTACCAATGAGTTTACAATATAAAGTACAACATTTACAGAGCAAGTCAAAATACATAAATGATCTCTATAGATAAGAGGAGTACAAAATATTAAGAAAATATATTTGCATCTTTAACATCATTTACCACCTTTTGTAAGACAAATATGTTATAAAATACAATATATTATAATTGACAGATCTGTGTGCTTATATTGAATTTATAACGTGATCTTAAGTCACAAATTTATCATTGCAATGTCATGTTAGGCCTTATTTATGTTGTTGTTAGATGCTAGACGATTTACATAGGAGCGTTGCTAGGCCTACAAATTCATGAGGATTGAGTTGATGTTGAGGAAGTCAACTTCATCGACGGGAGGCAGGTTCAGGAGCTGGTCAGAAAGCTGCGATCTAGAGCCTGGGTGAAACTCTATAAATAACAAAAGTGAAAGAAAAGTGAGTCAAAGATGACAAAAGCGATAGAGAGTGTGTGATAAGATGTTCAGACACAACGAGTTACACTAGTGCAACATTAACCGAGCAGTGTGAACTTGTGCGCAGCATAGTGAACGCCAGTCTGAATGCGCAATCATTGGCGTACGATAATCTACCAACAGACCCCAAATTATCATACACCTGACCAGAATGTAGGTCTGAACGTAGCCATAATAGAAATATTAAGTAAAAAGACACTGAAACAAAATCATGTAATCAGAATGGAAATGTGCAGGGCAACTCTGGCAAGAATGAAGGATAAGAAATTGAAATTACAGAGACAGCAGTGGCGTATCTAGTAGGTACACAGGTTCCCCTTACAAAGCTTTTACCCAGTCACCCCCCTCTCAACCCCTTCTCCCGGCTTGGGCCGACAAGCTAAAGTCCCCCTGTCAGGCAGCTTAGGGGGCACCCCCCAGAAAATATATCCTAGAGCCGCCACTGCCAATCAGTACATCACTAAGAATACACTCTCGTCCCACATGATTACGAACGTTTATGCTCTATTTCCTTAGGGCCTTAGCATCAATATCCAACGAGCGGGATTTAGCAGAAAGGTCCATTATGCACACAGGACGAGCAGACTAACATAAAGCAAAGTTCTCACTAAGCAAGTACAGCATTTTGAAGTTTCTGAAACTTAGCCCCTCTCACACTAAAGTCCAATCCCTTACTGCTAACTCATCCTTAGTGCACTAACTCGTTCTCAGTGCACTAACTGGCCTTCTATTAGGTTTTTAGTCTTGAGGAATTCTGTGTCAAGACCCAACCCAGAACAATGGGGTTGCATACATGTACACCTAAATATTGAGGTTAGTTCTTAAGTGACTGAATATGCTATACACTTATCTTTACCTATTGGTTCTGACTCAGGCCTTTGTACTGGAGTGATGGTCAAATGAGAAAAGTCTGGTATAATGTCATCCACATCACGCACTGGGTAGTGAAGCAGAGGGGTTCGACTGGTGAAAAGACAATCTAAGTTGGACAGGCAATCTTCAACAGGCAACGTGACCTCACAATCTAGAAAGTTTACAAAACAATGAGATAACACTGTAATGAATACAGAGATTTTACATAGTTCAATGTCTTTTGAATTACAGTAAAACGTCCATTTTACGAAAATGTCGATTTTACGAAGTCAATTTTACGAATGGTCTTTACCCCGGATGACGTCATTATTGACCAGTCATTACTGTAAAAAAAGTCTGATCGCGCATGTTTTACAAAGTGATGTGTATATTTTTCTTAATAAAATCAAGTTTGTGGTATTTATTTATTAATAGTTCGATCTTTTCTTCTATTTCTGGTATAATAACCACTATATTAATGTAATAAACGTAACCAGAACAAACTACCAACGCAAGTGTCGTCGGATTTAGCGTACATGTTTACGATGACGAACGAGAGTGTTGGGGTCAGCAACTCATTGACATCGTGAATGCTAGATATGATCGCGAAATGCATGTAAACAACAAAATTCAACGATCTAACAACTAGAAAGAAAACGATAGAAAGGGCCATAAAACATACAGATGTTTGAATAATATTTTGTTAAGTGGAAGAACGCCAGCGAATAAAAAAATTTGGATTTTATCAAAGGTAAATTCAGCTAGGCTCTAGCGCGGTAGACCACGCTGCACTGTCGGTTAGTGATAGGCCAGGCTGCCCTCAGCCTATCAGCGCTCAATGACCGGGGATAGCTAGGCCTAGGTATTGGAAACTTACACCCGGTCTAGTTCACAAATTTTTCAATTTACGAACACTCCTTGGTACATTTGGACGTTTTACTGTACCGCATTTTGGTCTCCATAATGAAGAAGAGGCAATTATGGAATAACTTCTCATGAATAGATAAATTTCTTAGCGATCACAACATTTTATTTGGAAGCAGATCCTCATATACACTTTCTCCTCCAATTCGAGACCACATTTGGAACAAGAAAATTTAGGGTGGTCTCGGGGTTCAGTTTCCACTTACAGGGTTACCTTTGAGTTAAAAAGATTTAAGATTGTTTTTTTGTTCTCGAATTAGAGGGGTCTTGAATTGGTGGGTGAACTGTATGTGTAGTTTCTATGCTTCATTTTAATATATTTTGTATACAACATTTTCGCTAAATTTGAAATGAAAATTTCCAAAAACCTGTGTTACCAGTGTTCGGTGACTGGCGCACGACCTTGTTTTTGTAGAGGCCAAAAAATAAATAGATGTGATAAATAGATGACAATAGATGTGCATAAAACCTGCATTGTTTTTGTTTTTTAAAAGCACTCAAAAGAAGATATGTGTCTGGAAAAACGAAATTTGCTCAGGCAAGGCTGCTGGATGTCCCCCAGTGAAAAGTTGCAAGACGTTGGTGGCGCAGTTTCAAAACAGACTGGATAAAAACTGGTGCACATCAAAACACAACAGAGCTTTGAAACTTGATGTATGTTTTACAAAATACTTGTTGTGGCACTAATTCACAAAAGATTGAGCTGTTGCACTGGCCATTTCGTTGTGCATAGATAAGGAACCAGGCATCTAAGTCTGCTTGCAATTAACACTATTATTGTTTCTATGCAAGTAATTTAAACTGCAAATATTACCTGTCAACCTATCTTCGTATATGTGCATGGTTTCAATTGGATGTAGAGAGTCTTTTTTTGCAGATTTGCTGGCATCTACAGCTTTGGTCTTGAGTTTTCTGGATGACTGAAAAAGAATGGTTAAAAAAAAAAATTAAATTAAAATAATCAACCCATTACAGTTCACCCTCCGATTCAAGACTTCTCTAATTAAAGACCACTTTTTCAAAGAACCAAATAATAATCTGCAATTTCTTAACACAAAGATAACCCTCTGTTTCCAAAGGCGATCTCGAATTGGAGAGCAAACTCAGGAAAGAAAGGGGTTGGTTGTCCGCCAACCAACCAACCATCCAAACCAACCAACTTTTTAAAACTAACTTTAGATCTCTTTATAATAACGAAATCATACATCAAAAAATCAACTCTCCATAAATGCTAACAAGCAATAATTTCTAGTGTTTCAAGTGCTTTAGGCTATGTTCAGACCTGAGATATGCCAGGGGAATCTAACACAGGGCGTACGTTATTCCAAGGTGTAAAAAGCGAGATGTCTAGACTAGGCAATTAACGAAACGCTAGCGCAAGTATTTGGATGAAATTACGTAAATTCACAATCATGCATTTCATTTCATGTTTATTGTCACTGCTCAAATCTTGGGCGAGTTCGCAATCATTGATGGATAACTGTCTTTACGCAGTGGCGTACGCTAATCTGGGGTATGTTGGTGCTCGATTATACTTGCGCTACCGTTAGCTGATAGTGTCTGAACATAGCCTTAGTGAATCATTCTGACGATGCAGAATTTAATATTACCTGTGTGCCTGGGGTCATAGTTGATTTCTTCAATTGAATGTTCTTATCGACTAGTCCCTTCTTGACTGTACTACTCAGACTAGGCCGCTTCATCGTATTTGTTACATTTCCCAGCGCACGACGAACTGGGTCATTGCTTATGTTACCAAGAGCTTGACGTGGTGTAAGCATAGGGGTCGATGCAGATGAGAACGTCTTCCCAGCTACTACAAGACAAAATTAAAAAGAAGTATGAAACAACTTTCTTTAAAAAGATAAATAGAACCTAGTTGAACTTTAATTTGGACCAAACTGTTTATGTAAGGTTGAGTTGTTCTCACTATTTCAAAAATAAATAATTGTACCGTAAAACGTCCATTTTATGAACATCGATTTTACGAATGGTCTCTGCCCCACCCCTGATGACGTCATCATCAACCAATTATTACCGTAAAAAAGTCTGATTGCGCACGTTGTACAAAGTGATATTTTTCTTAATAAAATCAAGTTTGTTGTATTTATTTATTAATACAGTAGTTTAAACTTTTCTAGAATTTCTGGTATAATAATCACTATATTAATGTAAATAAACCTAACCAGAACAACGAACTACCAACGCAAGTGTCGTCGGATTATGTTTACGATGACGAACGAGTGTTGGGGTCAGCAACTTATTGACATCGTGAATACTAGATATGATCGCGAAGTACATGTAAACAACACAATTCGGAGATCTGACAATTAGAAAGAACACGATAGAGGAATCCATAAAACATACAGATGTTTGAATAAGAGTTAAAATAATATTTTGTTAAGTGGAAGAATGCCAGTGATTAAAATAATTTTTTATTGAAGGTAAATTCAGCTAGGCTCTAGCGCAGTAGACCACGCTGCTTCACTGTCAGTTCGCGCTAGGCCAGGCTGCTGTCAGCTTATCAGCACTCAATGGCAGGGGATAGGTAGGCCTAGGTATTGGAAACTGACACCCAATCGAGTTTACTAATTTTTGAATTTACAAACACCCACTGGTATCAGATGGTACTTTAAATGGATCACTTACTGTATTGTAATCCCAGGATTTTTTATAATTAAATCCATATTACCAACAAAATAAGAAAATGTATGTACACTTGCCAAAAAACTTTGTGATTCTCCATAAAAGTATGACAAATACAGGTCTCCTCAAATTAAAGACCCCTCCAAATAAAGACTACCTGATTTGCTCATATATAGCATTGATGTCATAACGAAAATATATCAAAATATTGCAACAGAATGAAGTAAATTTTTTTATAAATCATTGTTACATTAAGGTAATATTTTTACTTACTAGGCTTAGATGATGATACTGAACTTGATTTTTTACTGGTTGTGTTCGCCAATGGATTTTCTTGGTCAACGAATGGTTGAATAAGTGACGTGGCCATTTCTGAGAATGCAGGTATAATGAATTATAAAATAACATGAAATGAAATTGTTATCACCACAATGTATTGAATAGGGCATATCATCTTGGACATCTAAGGCTGGGCATTCACTTCACATTTGTGTGTAACCAACAGAAATAAGAAAAAGTAGAGCCTATCTATTAATAATGCATTAAAATAGACCTACTTCTACTAGCCTAGGCCTGTGCATTACAGCAGTGCAGTAGCATACTACTAGCCTACTAGTAAATAGTAGTAATAGTAGTATAGTATTAAGCCTAGGCCTAGAGGGTAAAATTCCTCTGATAGGTTTTTAAATTTTAACCTACTAGGTAGGCAGCCTAGGTCCTACTCTAGCTGGGACTAGGGCCTACTGTAGCTAGGCTAGACCCTGGACTTCTCTAGGCCCCTAGGCCTTAGGCCTATCTAGAAAAACGACAGGTCTATCCCCCTGTTGCACCATGACATGAATTATGATTAACAGTCTGTTAAACAGAACACAGGCTAGGCCTACCTAGCCTAGGCCCCATGTGTTTTATATAACAAATCGGTCAGCAACTGTTTCATTTATATCTATCCATCAAGCTGGTGAAGTTATATACTAAAAGTAAAAACTCACTTTATCAAAATATTCGTGCTTTATTAATCGACTTCTTTCCTGTAACTTGATAAAATGCAACCTTCGTTGAAAATATCCGCGATGTTTCTTTTAACCTGGCCTCGACCAATCACAGCGCCTGTTATCAATGAAAACTGTTGGTGGCGCTATACAATTTGAGTTTTGTGAGCTGAAGTTTGTCGATAAAGATACGCGAGCCCCCTACCACAGGTATATTAAAATATACAGTATTTGAAGAGTGTCTGAAAAGCTTCATCCTAAAATGCTGGATGTTATTAAAAACAATTTTAATCAATGCCAACCCAAAGTAAATAATTTTAATGAGTTATGTTATTAAAGATGAAATTAACTTGCCAATTTTGAAGTAACATAATAATTAATCAACTTTAACATATCATTTAGTGTATTTAAAAAATGCCTACCCATCAGTTTACAGTGAATAATGATATAAAACCTTCCAGTCACTGGAAGTGTTTCATTATTTTTATTATACTTTTCTGGTTTAAAAATCAGGGTACATATTTTTAAAATTCAATAATTTCTATGCACAAGTTAATTATTTGTATGTTATTGCAAAATGAACAAGTTGATTTGAAAATAAATTTTTAGGATTTTTTGACATAGCAAGGGACGATACATCTTTAATGCCACATTATGGGTTGAAGCAGCCTGCTATTGGAAAATATTGGTTCAGAAGTGATTTCTCAATCTGAGTAGTAGAGAAGTGATGGGTGCAACATTACATCCTCTTGCTCATAGGAGATCAGTGGCCACCATTTAGTTTATATATATGTTTATATACAAATTAACTCTTCCGAGTTGTTGGATCTCATCCTACCATCCAAATCATTTGGTTGTTTTGCATCTCTAGGCTCTCAAAAGATTCTTACCATCTTACTTTGACGAAGTCTAAGTTCAATACCAAGCAATAAAGAAGCTTTTCCCCTAGAGCCACAACTTTCTAGTTTCTTTATTGAGGACCGTTTCCTTCTAGAGTTAACCTTACTATTTACAGACGGGGGTTTTCAACAGAAATGCATTTTTAATGTTCATCAATTTTCCTTCACCTTGTTTTTAGGCTTCAGTTTGTATTTTTCTCTTTTAAAACCAAAAGCTCTGTTCAGACTATCATAATTTTCTTTGACAAAAAAAACCTGTTGTATGCCCATATATAGTCATGGTGTGCCTATATATGGTCATGATGTGATATCATCATGACCATATTTAGACATGTCACAAGTTTTAGTCAAATAAAAGTTGATCGTCTGGACAGGGTTTTATACCTTCTACCAAAAATGGCTTTCAGCCTGATATTATTTTGTAAATTAATTGTATGGAATGCCTGTGTTAATGAATCGCTTGGCAATCTGCATTGTTGAGTGGGACATCCTTGTGAAGCATCATTATTATCACAGAAGATAACAATAGTATGTTTTAGTATGTGATAGTCTTGTTTTCAACAGCAGACAATGCAACACAAAACACATATATTTTGTATGCTATGATGCATTTAATCAAATTCTATTTTGCTACAATAGTTAATTACAATAAAGTTACGTTTAAAAAAATGTATTTTTCCTTTTTCATTTCACCAGATAAACAAATTTTTTGTGTATATACATGGTATGTACAGGATTATAAATTTTATAGACTTTAAAACAAACACAAATCATTTAGATGCATAAATTAATTTGCCAAAAAAAAAAAAAATTTTTGGCAGTGGCTACTGTTACATCAGTTTTAAATGAATCTCTAATTCTGATTACATATTACTGCCCTAATCCAATCCATACAAACAATAACATCCAATCAGAATTAGCCATTAGCTGAAGACTGGTGTAAGAATAGTAAAAATCGTTATACTTGTACAATATCAAAATATCCAATCAAATGAAACTCATAATTAAAACTAGACATACACCTACAGAATGTTGATAAGACTGTAAACGATATGATTTTCAATATTTTACATAAAATTGGCAACAGTATAATAATGCACAAAGTTTACAAAGGTGAAATTATGATTTTATACCATATAAAATAATTGTCCAATGTCCAAGCAACAAAGGTGATATGATTTACATTTTCCTTGAAAATAAAATTATATACTATAATAAAGTATTTCAATTATATAATTATTTATACCATATAAAATATAACAATGGCTATGCATCAAAGGTGATAAGTTTATTTTCTTTAAAAATAAAATCATTTAATTATATAATCATTTATACAATATAAAATATCACAAGGCCCTAGTGACAAAGGTGAAATTAATAATTAATTAAAATAATTATGTACTACTATATAGTTTTGTAATGATAATTATTTATACTACCGTATATCCTATGCAATTCAATCAAATCAAATTAACCAATAAAATAGATCAAATCAAATTAACTAACTAAATCAAATAATTAACAAATGAAATTAAATCAAATCAAATGATTAACAAATAAAATGTAGTATTGTCAATGTATATAAGTGAATCAATTTAGTTAAGGTCAAAACAATAAAATATCCGCAATCAATGCAGAATTAATAAGTCCAAGTCAGAGGGATCTTTAAAATTACAATAATTACAATACTTGTTAATCAATTACTTGTTTACTTCCTTATTACCAACATTAAAAATTATATACAAAGTTTGAAACCTAAAACTATTAATTATATTTCTTGTAGAGTCATCTTGAATTTGACAATGATTTACAACCAGTAGAGTAGTACCTTTCATTCTTTTGATACTCTCTGCAGGGATTATCAATGCTTTCATACACTGGGTTGTCTTCTTCTTCAAACAGCTCATAAGCTTCATATATGTGACAATCAGAACTATTGGTAAGTTCATTGTTGCTGTTGACTGATGACTGGGAGGAACTTGATGACCTCAGGAAGAACGCTAATGGGGATTTTGAGCGCCCATTCTGGGTCAAAGGCGATACTGGTCGAGTAGAATCATTAATCTGTGCGGAATTAGCAGGCGATGAAGATCGAGGTTGAAGGTGTAAATGCGATTGTATATTTTTTGCTGACGAACTGTGGGGTGGAATAGGCGGGGGTGACGATGATGACCATGACGACTGGGAAGAAGAAGAATTTGCCGGTGATAAAGGAGCAATAAGTGGGACCATCCACTGGGACATTTTCCCAGAAGCTGTGCTAGAACTTGACGAGGTCCTAGATGGAGTTGGTGGTGTCCACGGTTGTGGTACACCAATGATACCATTTCTTTTTACAGATGAAGATGGAGATGGGGTAGCAGGAGGAAAGAGGTCAGGAAGATCAAATGTCGGCGAGTCCATAGGTGACAAACTTGATACCGACTCTGGATCTTCAGTGTTACATGCTTCTTCATATTTGACTTGTAATGCTCGTACTCGCCCTTTGGAATGATTCAAGTTGAAAGGTCGTGTTGTTGACGATGACATTGATCTGGTCCTTGGTTTCTTAGCAACAGCAGGTGGGATTTTTATATGCTTGGTTTTTCTCAAGATGCTGTTCCTCCTAAAAGAAAAAGAATAATATTGATAATAAAAGTGGGTGCAGTCAGATAAGATGTACTGCGGCCATCCAAAGTTGCCTGGTTCGATCCTCCCTAAAATCAATATATATGATATTTGGTCCAATTTTTTTAATGTGATAATATAGACATTATAATAAAATACCACTTATGACAAATATTCATTACCCAACATGCATCATTCAACAAATCAACAAAAAGTGCCAGACATAAAAATTAAAACAATACAATGATTTAACATTACAAATGCAACATGCGTTGGAAAAAGTATGGTAATAATATATTTCCGCATTCTGCCTTATGGTGGTGTCTACAACAAAACTCAGGAATCAAAATTTAGATGCTATATGATGCAAATTTAATAAAACATGTCACATGCTAGCAATCCCACAATTCCTGTTTACAAACCTGATAGCAGGAGCACTAACTGCATTGCCATTAGATATATCCATAAGATCTGGTAGAAATAGTTATTTATTTGTGGATGAACAATAACAACAAAAACAAACAAAACATTCTATTGTTGCTTAAACACAGTGATGGCGTCAGGAACTACCCGATGGGGGTTTTGATGTCCCCGGCGGGAGAAGGGGGGTAGGGCGGGAAATAACTCCGCCGGGAGAGTAAGTGGGTGTGGTGGGGCGTTGCTCAAAATCTCTTGGATGTGGTCCCAGGAAACTATGACAATTTAGAGATTTCAAATGCTTATTCAATTGACTTATTTTTATTGGATTTATTCGGTGTAAACACCAAGGATAGCCCAAAAAAGTCTAGAAGACTTATTTCCAGTGGGGTCCTTCTGGTGGTGATTGGGCAGTAAATCTAGAGACCTACTCTTTTCCGAAGAGAGTACTGCATTCTTTAACGTGCGCATGAGCCATAAATGCACATGGGACCAACTGCTTAAATGCCTCATCTGAAAGACAGTGCGCTATTGCAATTTGTGTTTCAGCCCTCCAGCTGAAACACAAGGAGAGGCAGCGATGGGAATTGAGCCAGGAACCTAGAGATCTGCACGGTTCAGCGCACACACAGTGGCTACCACCAGATTAGCCGACTGAGCTAAGCTACTCCGTCGGCTCAGTCTATTAGTAGACTTTAGAGTCTACTAATATGTAAAAAAAAATACTGCCACCTGCCCCCTTTCCCCACTGGTGCCACCCCTGTGGAGATAATAAATAAAAATGTCAAAAAATATTCAGTTTATCAATTCTGGGAGAGTAAATGTGTTATGATGCCTGTATCATTTTTTTACTTTTTAATGTAAAACAAACACAGCTTCAAGAAAAGAAAAAAAGCATTATGTTTAAAATCAGCAAGTGTTCCGAGAGCTGTATATTTTTATGTGTTATATCAAACGAGGTTTGTAACAATTTTTTGAGTGACGAATACTCTATGTATGGAAAATGAAAATATATTTAAAAAACACACATTACAGCTGGTCACTTCTATGAAAAAACAAGAATGACTTTGGTAGGTCAAACCTAATTCCTTTGGACATTTTTTGCAAATTAGTGAAATGTGCTTTATAATTACCCAACTGTAGTATTGTATAATAACAATAATAATATTATTATGGATTTGATTCTGAAATAAAGTCAATGAATGAACCAATCAATTGCTATTACTAACTATGTAGTATTGTAATTCTGACATTTTTAAACTAAGCTGGTACTCATTATATGAACATGTTATTTTACCTTTTGCTCCATTTTCCTTGATGGACTCCCCTATTTCCATCTTTTTTCGTCGTTGGTTCATGATGTTGAGAAATTCAGACGTGGCTTCAGACTCTGATGAAGATTTAATCAAAGGCGGACGATTTGACGATGTCTTTTTCTGGAAAAATTAAAGATATGATTCATTGTTGTAAAGTTCTATTATTTGGTTTTCATTTTGGTATAATTAGCATGGTTATAGTAGAATATACACTATATAAACTAAAAATATATATTAATTATAGTACAGTAATAGTATAATTAGCATGGATATAGTAGAAGACATTTAAATAAACTAAAAATATATCTTAATAATGGTTTTCTAATATTATTGGGGGTGGGGGGAGACTTAGTGTTGGCCACAGAGCTGTGATTCAACTATAGGGAGAGGGTGGGGAAGTATGCATGAATCGCAACAATAACTCAGGCACCTGAACCCAGTAGTGGTGCCAGTGGGGAATCAGGGAGGGGGAATTTGGCCTGGTCCCCCATCATCCGATGCCAAGATGTTGTCAGATTAAAAATATTAATTTGCCTATCCAAATAAATTTTTTGATTGCCAATCCCTAATTGGGACATATTAAGCCACACTGTATGGTCATGCTATACCAATCAAGTTGCAGAAAAAAACTCTCCCATGAAGGCCACCAGGGTTTATATTCGGACCCCCTATCAGACATGTTGGACCCCTTGTCAATAAATAAATACAGGTGTATTCTAATATATGCAAACAAAGCATTATAAGTGAATATTACATAGGACTTACCAAAAGTCCATTAAGTTCCATCATTGCTGGGGTGGGAGTATTTTTGCGACTTAACTTTGAGCTTCTTCCTCTCTCAATTGCTCTTCTCTCCTGCAAAAACAAAACAATTATTACAACATATTATTCTAATGTAAATGAATAAGAAACCTCCCAAAGAAAGAACTCGCCCTCAACTGGGACTCAAACCTGAGACCTTTTGCATACATGGCAAACGTCATAACCACTTGACTATAAAGGTGTTGTGTTGATCCAACTGGCAGCAGACTTTGAATTTCTTTCTTTCTGACATAAAAATGTTGATACAGCTCTAATATCGCATGTTATTAAACCGTCAGAGATCGATATGATACGCCTTC